CCCTCCCCCCCCCCCCCCCTCCCTCCCTCCCTCCCTCCCCTCCTCCCTCCCTTCCTCCTTTCCTCCCTCCCTTCCTTTCCTCCCTCCCTCCCCCCTTTCCTCCCTCCCTATCTTTCTGTTTTCTTGCTGACATCATAGTGTCATATCTGATATATGGGATTTAAATGGTTGGAAGGAAAGTGATATTTTATTGAAGACATTATTACAAAAATTTGGTTATTGGGTTAGCAACGTTCACGGATCACTTGTAACTTTAGTCACTTTAGTCACAAACAGAAGAATGCCCCAGGTAGAATGTTTGTCATTTTGGATCAACATGGATCCTGCCATCGAGCCAAGGAATTGCTATTGAGAGTATTCAGATTTTCCAGTCTCAACTCTGTCCAGTCTATGTAGATATGTGCACAACCTTGTATGGTCTCTAGTGGATAAATGTATTATCAAACATCCTCCATCCTTTTGAGTTAAATTATTTGTAGTAGATGTCTGCTACTCTAAACCTTAAAACAAAGCTGCTCAAGTAAACAAAGCATTTTTAAGAACTCTTGCTAGACATGGCTTCCTACACCTTTAATCCCAGCACTTGGGGGACAGAGGCAAGTAGATCTCTGTGAGTTTGAGGCCAACCTGGTCTACATTGCTACTTTGGAGCCAGCCTGGTCTACATTGCTAGTGTGAGGCCAGGCAGGTAGGGCTATGAAGTGAAATCCTGTCTTAAAGAATTCTTTGTTAGTTACTGTATGTAATTGCTTAACAATGTAGAAATCTTCTACAATGAATGTTTTAAAATACAGATTTTTCTAGCAGTCAGACAGCAGATTGATATAATTTTCAAAATTTACACTGTTTCATTGCATGACTGTAGTTATGACAACAGCTAGAGTGACGAGAAAATTTACCGATGAAACGGGCTGACATAAAAAAGTTTTCTCATTATAAATCATAAGGTAATTTGAGTAATGTTCTGCTTCTACATAAAAATTAGGACTAGTACACTTAATGCTGAGTGAACACCCAGCGTGCTCCCAGCACTTTGTAGGCTGTGACCTTTTGACCTGTGAGGTAGGTACCCTCTTCCCTCCAGCTAAAGACAGACTATCACAGAACACAGGAAGTGACAAAAGGACATCCAGGGCTTGAGTTTGGTCCTAGGGTTTCAGAACCGGGCTCCCAAGGTCTCTCTTCTCTCTCAGAAACGTGCTCACTAATGTCTGGTAGTATTTCACAGATTCACGTGACTAACACTATTTGGTATTTCAAACTTGATCTGCCTACGGGTTGCAAATGAATTAAAGGGGAGTGGCCTTTCAGCTGTGTCAGTATTGTGGTATAAACCACTTATCAGGTAGTTCGATGCTATGTGTATCATTCTGAATTTCTTTGAAATGTTGGCAGAATTCTAATATTCTATCTTATTTTAGAACATAATGAGGGGCTTGGCTGCTTTATCAATGGTCACTTTTGAGCCATTTATACTTAGCAAAACCAAATACAGACTGGCTGATTTAAACTTCTTAGACTGAACAGAACAGGGAGATGGGTTAACTGTCATCAGAGAATGTGTTTGATCTGAAATGTTTACTAGTGTTTTTAATACATTTATTCTTGTTTTCTTTTCTTTCTGCACAGAATAAAGACCCTAAAATGTCTCGAGTTGCACTGGAGTCTTTGTATAGACTGCTGTGGGTTTATGTAATTAGAATAAAATGTGAGAGCAATACTGTAACGCAAAGGTAAGTGCTGTCTTACAGTGCCGTGTCTCAGAGCACGTCTAACACAGCCTTGGCAGGTCGGCTACGGCTCAGAGATGAAGTGCATGCTCAGAGCACCCAGGGCTCCGAGCTCTATCCTCTGTCCCAAAAGAAATGAGTAAAAGCCTGCGACAGTCATACCGGTGGAAGTTACCAAGGCATTGTGGGAAGGGATCTGCACTCCCCTGACCTAAGGAGCAGGAGGAGTTCTTGGCGAGGGGCCGTGTTCTCAGGATCTCGTGGTCATCCAGCCTCTTTTCTGCCTGCAGTCGCCTGATGAGCATAGTGTCAGCTCTTTTCCCGAAAGGCTCCCGCAGTGTGGTCCCCCGTGACACCCCTCTCAATATATTTGTGAAGATCATCCAGTTCATTGCTCAGGTGGGTGCTCCTCCTCACCAGCCCTCTTGTCCTGGCTGCCAGCGACAGCCATTTTTCATAATTGGGGGTTCTTACGTAAATGTATAATTTCTTACATATTCAGAAGTGTGCTTTCAAAGTATCAATACTACTCAAGAGTGAAAGGTATGCTTAGAACATTTTTAAAAATACATGATACTAATGACTCTGTGTGTGTGTGTGTGTGTGTGTGTGTGTGTGTGTGTATGTGTTATGTGTATGACAAAAGATGGAAGGAACCACATAGGTAGACACACATTTAATTGAGGGTGAGTTGAGAAACTATGTCACAGTCCTAATAAAAATGCCTCGGTAATCTTGGTTCATGTGTGTGTTGTGTGTACATGTGTGTGCCCTCTTGTGTGCAGGAAAACCAGAGATCAACATCAGGTGTACTGTATTACTCTCTGCTTGCTTTTGTTTTTGAAACTTCAGAGAGTGTGTGTATTCGGTGTGTGTGTGTGTGTGTGTATGTATGTATGTTTGTGTGTGTTTGCACACGCACATGCTCACACTGTTAGAGAAACAAGCACTTGTCATAGTTTCAATTGCTGTGCTAAAACAACCACTGAGCAAAGGAACATTTAACTATAGTGGGTGAACATCTCTGATTGGTGCCTAGAAGAAATGATAATTACTGAGTATAATGACGAAAAAGATTAACGAAGCAGGTTGAGTTCTGGTCCGGTGTTCAGAGAGCAGGGCTGTTAGGTTGCACTGTTCACCTTTTCTGTTTTCTAGAGTTGCGCCTGTGCCCTCAGTGAGTTGCCTCACTGTAACGGCAAGCCCTGTCCCTCAGGTGCTGGTGTGTCTTCCTTAGCACTCAGTCTATTCAGATCCCTTTGCTGGGTCCCTTCCTTCCTGTTCTCACTGTTCTCTCCGTGCTTAGAATTTGTAGTGGATGAATATTTAAAATTCACCCTACACATTGGGAACTCATATTATTGATATTAGATGATATGTTTTAAACATCTGTTTTATTATTCATATATATTTTTCTTGGGTTTATAAACTTCCTAAGGGTGAAAATCTATATCATTTCCAGTAGATGTGTTTCTCAGATAGCTTACTTTATATTCTAGGGAGGTACAATGATTTATTAAGTAATTAATTTCTTTCCTTAGGAACGTTTGGATTTTGCAATGAAAGAAATAATATTTGATCTTCTCAGTGTTGGAAAGTCTACTAAAACTTTCACCATCAATCCAGAGGTAACAATAAAAAGTTTACATTGCAGCAATAGTGAAACTTTTAAACTGGAAGTAGACATGTCACTCCTTCTGAGGTTTTATGTGATCCTTCAGTCAGTCTGTCGTGGAGGGTTGGGCAGCAATGGAATCTTTTTAAGTTTGAAAATCAGTTTATTGAAAAGTCGATAAAGGAATCCATTAACCCATTTACTCAGATGCCTATGATCCGTGTTGCACTGAGGAAACGCTGGTTCATTCCAGCCCATGATGGAATTTTCTCCTCCCTTCAGGTTTTCTGTGCATCTGTGATGGAGTATTTTAGAGAACACATCAGGACTTTGTCATATCTAAAAATAAGTAACACTTTGAAGCTTGACCATATTTACATAGTGGACACTTGCACACTTGTGTCCAGTGTTCTGTGTTGCCACCCTGGGATGCCTGGCCTTGCCTTAGTAATCTCAGGTGCAGTCACAGAGAGGGACATGTAGGCTGAGACAGTAGGGTGCAGACGGAGGAAAGCAGCACATTAACTGAACAAAGAAACATGGAAAAGCAGTCAGGTCTCGGAGAAATAGTGCTCGTGTCTAACCTGTGGTATTTTGGGACATCTGAGATGGCAGGTCATAAGGAATGCATTCAGAGTGGCCGGATACAGGTTTTTTGGCAGTCTGGAATGGACAGTGATTGATGCCATGTTAATCCGTGTGGTTTCTGTGAAGGGACAAATGACAGGAGGAGCCTGGAATGTGGGTAGAGGTGACCCAGCCAGAAGGAACACGGAAGTGGGAGAATAGGCGGTATTTGGGAAAAGAGAGTACTTGATGCTGCCTGAACTATGGAAAGTGAAGAAGATACAATGTGGCCCCTGATGAGGGAGAAATGCTTCCGAGAAGTGTTGCGGGGATCTTTATTCCATTAAGATAGTTGAGAGAGCTAAGGGACATGGCTATGTGTTCCGTTGGAAGAGAAATGCCAAGGATAAAAGAAAGAGAATGGGTAGATGCTCTGATGCTCAAGAAAGTGCAAGAGCCCATCGTCTGAGTCATTGTCCTGTATCTGTGAAGACACCATTACCAAGGCAGCTATACAAGGGGAAGCCTTTAACTGGGGGCTTGCTTACTGTTTCAGAAATTTAATCCATTATCTTCATGACAGGGAAGCATAACGGGGCAGTAGCTGAGCACTAAATCCTCATCTCTATGCAGGAAGAGAGAGGGAAGGAGGGAGGGAGGGAGGGAGGGAGGGAGGCAGATACTCTAGGCTTGTCATGGGCTTTTAAAACCTCAAAGCCCACCCCCAGTAACACACTTCCTTCAATAACGCCACACCTCCTAATCCTTCTAATCTTTTCAAATAGTGTCACTCCCTAGTAAGAGCCTTTGGGAGCCATTCTCATTCAGACCACCATATTCATGGAAAGTCCAACAAGTCTAGGAGGCCATCACCCCTGCGCCATGAGAAGACCAAAGGGGACAAACAGCACCTGTGACTGTCAGTAGTCTGGTGTGACTGTTTGAAAGGTTGAGTGGATACAGTTTTTCCCTGTGAAGGAGAGAAGTGGTCTTAAGAGAGGGGAGGGGGACTGAAAGAGTCATGGCAGTTGACAAAGCACAGAGAGGTTTCAAATGAGCCTTAGAGACAAGGGAAGATAGTTGACTCAGGACAGTGAGCCCCATCTGGGAATTTGAAATCACCGCAAATACTGCTACCTGGGCTGGTTCACAGTGTCAGGCAGAAAGATTAGATCCCTTCTGTCCTTCTTACTCCTAACCCCCTTAGCCTAGACAATGCATGGCCCTGATTTCTTCTTCTTGGGTCTGTTTTCTCTGAAGAGGATGAACATTGGCCTCCGAGTCTTCCTCGTCATTGCGGACAGTCTACAGCAGAAGGATGGGGACCCTCCCATGCCCACCACAGGAGTCATTCTTCCCTCAGGAAACACTCTTCGTGTAAAGAAGATTTTTCTCAATAAAACCTTGACAGATGAAGAGGCAAAAGTCATAGGTTAGTGTTCACTGGAATGAATAAATTTCAACTGTAGTACTGTTCTGTGCAAGTCTGTAGTCAAGTCTAAAGTGTGTCCATTGCCAAGTGTGGATGCCCCAGCCCTACAGTGATCTAGTGATGTTTCTAGTATTCCTGTCAAGAGTCTTCTTGTTAAGCGTGTTTTGGCACAGAATTCTGCTGTGTATATTCTGGTCTTTAACGTCTCTGTGTAATTTGTATGCAATATCCCAAGAGCACATCACAGTTGGAACATCTTCTAATGTGATAGCAGCAGTTTTTTTCCCCTGAGAGGCTGATGGGTTGTTATTAAAGAAAGCAGTCCTTCTTACAATTTCTGGCGCTATTGTGATGGTGTGCTTTCTCTCTTAGGAATGTCCGTTTACTATCCTCAAGTAAGAAAAGCATTAGACAGCATTCTACGGCATTTGGACAAAGAAGTTGGGAGACCAATGTGTATGACCAGTGTGCAGATGTCCAACAAGGAGCCTGAAGACATGATTACGTACGTAGTAAATACATGCGTCCATTGCATGCTTCCATTACATGCCTTCATGCATACCTTCATGCATGCCTCCATGGCTATTCCAGTCTTCACAGAAGGGTACACAGAAGCAGGTTACCTGTTTCCATACATTTTCTCCTGGACTTCTTACATGTGGCCATTTGTTATAGTTTTTAAATACAGAGATTCCTCCCACATGCTCAATTTTTTGTTATTTTGCACGATGCTGAACTAGTGTTGATAATGTAGTCTAATAATGAACCTTACTTTCATTTGTCACATGAATAATTTCCACACAACAAAGATATGTATTGTTGAATAGATGGCCCTACTTACAGGGTCCTGCTTTTAAAAAAAGAAAGCCAGGAATCCTGTAAATCTGAGAGCTGTTCTAGGAACCAGAGAATGCAGAGGGTAGTAGAGTGGGGGCAACTCTTTTAGAGACAGCCCCTCCCCATGTCCCTCCTCCTCCTCCACCCTCCATGCTTGCTGTTTTGCACCCAGCTTCTTTTCTCTCTATTGTTAGATTCTCCCTTTTCATGAGGTAGTATGTTTTATGATAGCCATGCCCCTTGTTTGCTGGCGAGGATCAGTATGATCTACAAAGGGTTTTAGATATAAATGTAAAATGCATTTAGATTTCGGTATCCGCATTACAGGTCTTAGACACTCCTGTTGGATATTTTGCTCTCTGGGCTTATCTAATATATGACTATTGCATACTGCTGTGTCCAGAGAGTTTTCAGATGTGAAGGTTTTGTATGTTTGACTTCTGAGACATTTCCTCCTGCCCACCACAGCTTCTCTTGCATTAAAGTCAACAACATTTACATCTCGTTCCTCTTGTGGTCCTGAGAGCCTCAAATGGATTCAGTGTCTGTCCCCTGGTCAGCGTGCTCTCCTCTGGCTCCTTTTACAATTCCATATGAATTTCCCTTCCTGGGATCTCTAACTGTGGTCTAATAATAGACTTTAAATGACAAAGAGGGACTAATTTATTCCTTAGAAGGTCACTGTGGCATGTCTGCATGCTGCATTTGGGCATAGGCATCTAGCTGGTCTCACATGGTCTCATGTGTGGTAATGTGTCAGTGTTTGTGGTAAAGGGAATGTGTCGAGCTAGACATCATCAGGGTCTCTGAGACTCGCTGCTAGGTTGAGTCCAGTTAAACTCATATTTAGAGAAGATGCTGTGACAACCTGAAATTGTAAGAATTTGCTATGGTTTTTTTTTCCCCTCTACTTTTATCTTTGCCGGCCCCAGCTTCTCTTTAATTGTCCATTTTAGTAAATGTCACATTTTGGGGGCAGACAGACCCTGCAACAGTCACACACTTGGCTGTTGGCTGTGTGCATGAACTGGTGCACACTGAGCAGTCAGCAACAGTTTAGGAAGGCATGGTGTGCCAGGCGGCCCATTTGGGTGTGCATCTGATATATGTATGTCTCAGAGGAGAAACACACAAAACCTTCAGATAGATAGATAGATAGGTAGATAGATAGATAGATAGATAGATAGATAGATAGATAGATAGATAAGTAGATAGACAGACAGACAGACAGACAGACAGATAGATAGAGTGAGTCTTATGGACCCGACGGCCAGCACTGACATTTGTGCCATTATTGTTAAAACAGTGGCTGCAGCTTAAACCCCCGTCTATGGGGACTTGTATTATTTATCTGGCTTGTGGTCACTCTAATCCACGTGTTTTAAAGCCACCCAAATGACAACTGTGCCAACATCTCTAACAAAGACTGACCCAAACTCTTAGAATGTTTTGATTCTTGACTGCACAGGGATTATCGAGTAACTAGAAAACAACGGGGATGAAAGTAAGAAGCTTTTCTTCAGATACAGACTGAAATGAAAAGCAGTGTATTAAGTGGTTCGTAAAACTTGTGAATAACTTTTGTAGCAGAGGTGGAAACGTAGCTCAGTGACAGAGCTCCTCCCTAGCATGAGTAAGGCCATGGATTTGGTCTTCAACATCACCACCACCACCACCCCCATCATAGACACATATGTAGTAAAATTAAATTGTATTACACATCTGCCTCTCAGGAGGGACTGACTCTTAAAACATCCGTGCATTTTAATTGTATAAAATATAAACAGATAGACATGTGTTTATCACAAGAGGACAAGAACAATATGAATACTCATCTATGAGAACATCTGATTGTAAAACTAATCATTTGAGATATTTAAGTATAAGTATCAATACTACTTCTACCACTTACGTATCTTGTTGCTGTGACAAAATACCTGAACAAAAACAGCTTGAGGAGGAAAGGTTTGTTTGAGTTCACAGCTCCATCCTGGTGTGGTTCATCCTGGTGTGGAGGTCATGGCGGCAGGGCCTTGAGACAGCCAGTCACGCTGTGCTCACAACACAGAGAGCAGTAAACGTTTGGCTCTGCTAGCTTTCTCTTCTTGGTATAGACCAAGCCATGGAATAATGTCTCCTACCTTCACAATGTGTCTCCCTACCTCAGTCCAATGTAGGGAATCCCTCAAGGCGTGCCCAGAAGGTTGCTTCACGAACGATGGTTGATGCTGGGTCCTGGGAAGTTAATAGTCCATGTTAACCATCACACAGCTGTTTCTGATAGTAACTGGTATTCAGTTGTGTCTGTGAATAAGTTCTTTTCAAATATTAAAGTGGGTAAAACTTCAAAGTCTTTAAAATTATATAGTAATTATGCATGCTTCCTAACTAATGAGGTCAGTTATTAGCTGTCATCTCTCTGAATGGTCTCCATCCTTTTGCTTGTTTATGGGTGGTAACTAGCTGCTGAGTCTGTACGCATACTTGCTTGTGCCCCCTTTTTTATTGGACCCGTTAGTCTTGGGACTGTGCTCTCACCTTCTGTAACATTCTTGCAAAATGGATCTTTCTAGCCCATGTGATACACTTCTTAGTCTGTTTTCTGTTTGTCTGTTGTGATACATTTTCCAGGGGGGAAAGAAAACCCAAGATCGATTTGTTTAGAACTTGCATCGCTGCAATTCCAAGGCTAATTCCTGATGGTATGAGCAGAACTGACCTCATTGAGCTGTTAGCAAGGTGAGTGGCCTTGTCCCCGTCCCGCCGTGTCCACAACAGACACAGCCTCGTCCCTGTCCCGCCGTGTCCACAACAGACATAGCTTCGTCCCCGTCCCGCCGTGTCCACAATCGTCCCCGGTCCCACTGTGTCCACAACAGACACAGCTTCGTCCCCGTCCCACAGCTTCGGGCCTCCACCTCATTGAGCTGTTAGCAAGGTGAGTGGCCTTGTCCCCGTCCCACCGTGTCCACAACAGACACAGCCTCGTCCCCGTCCCGCCGTGTCCACAACAGACATAGTTTCGTCCCCGTCCCGCTGTGTCCACAACAGACACAGCTTCGGGCCTCCTGATTTACTCTCTTAATTCTCATCTTTTATAACCCCCACTCAAGTTTTTAACTTCTAACTTCCTCCCGCATCTCCCTCTAAGCCCCATTCTCCAATTCCCTGTCAAGTAATATGGGTTATATGACAAATGTCCCTTACAGCCTCTCTGATGCTCAGGGAGGTTTTACTTCTGAGGTCATCCTGTCAGCGTCTTGAGTAGGGACCGAGACCCAGTTAACTTTTTCTGCTCTAGGAGCGCCTGCTACTTTCAAGCGTTTGCTCCGTGTCTTCCTCTATTAGGCACACCATAGTTCTATAAAGTGAGTAAATACCTCAGCAAGCACCCTTAAACAATGTCTCCCAGCCTAATTCTGTCGAGACGGCAGCCTGCTGAGGCTCTGCTGTGTGAATGCCCTTGGGGATCATGCAATTAGGGGTCAGCACTCTTTCTCCGTGAAAGACCAGACAGTAAATATTTCACGGTTTTGCTGACTGTGCTATATATAGTCCAGAGGTTCTCAACCTGTGGGTTGAGACAACTTTGTAGGGGTGGGGTGTCAAACCGCCCCTTCACAGGGGTGACCTGTGACCATCAGAAAATGCAGGCATTTACATTACAATTCCTGACTAGCAAAATCACAGTTTGTGAAGTGGCCGTGGTTGGGGGGTCGCGACCACATGAGGAACTGTGTCAAAGGGTCGTAGTATTAAGAAGGTTGAGACCCACCGCCTCAGTGTGTGGCATGTCTGCATTCCCACTGTGGCATTACAGAAGCAGCCGGACCATATTGCAAGACTGAACATGACTGGGCATCTGACTGGAGCCTGCCCAGAGCCACAGTTGGCCAGCCACACCCAAGTGGAAAACCAAACATGGTGACTGTTATGTTTGCTGGTTGCTGGGCAACCGCCATATTGTATAAATAGTGACTAGATGGCTACAGCACAGCGACTTGTTCAAGCCCTGGGTGAGAACACCTGACACTTCCCAGATAGCCTTGCACCTCCCTCAGGTGTTGGGACCATGGAGACACTGGCGTTTGTCTCCTGTGAGGGCTATTGGGGGGGGGGCGTCCTTGAAACTGTACCTTTCCATAACTTCCCTCTCTCCTCTCAGCCTCCTTATTGTTGGTTTGTGGCACTGAATTGAACGTAGAGGCTTCTGCGTGTTAGGCAAGCACTCCTCTATAGCTGAAGCTCCTTCTGCATTATGCGTACATACGTGTATATGCTTGATTTTGAAATAAGGTCCCAGTATGATGTCAAGGTTGACCTTGATCTCCCTCTGTATTCCAGGCAGGCCTGAACCTGGGGATCCTTCTGCCTCAGTCTCTTAAGTACCCGCAATTTGATGTTTGTGCCAACAGGCTTAATTTTTTAATTAAGAAAAAACTTTAATTTCTTATTCTATGTACATGTATATGACGGGGTGCACATACATCAAAGCGTAGAGTTCAGAGGTCAGCTTTGTAATTGGAGTTGGCCCTTTACTTCCACCATTGTGTGGGCTACCTGCACTCAAGAGGCAGAGGCAGAAGAATTGAGAACTGGAGGCAAGAGTGTGTTATATAGCGAGACCCTGTCTCCAGAATAAAATAGATAAAATATAAATAGTGCGGAATTAGAAAGCTGGCACCCCATTAGGGACCTGAAGTGTTACCCCACAGCAGCAGTCATCCTTACAGCAGTAAGCAGCTACTGTCCAATCAGTCCTCCCTGGTCCCACCCCAGCCTCCCTTGACCTACATCTTTCTGGAAGGTGATCCTGCAAGATAAATGTCTGGCACCACCCCTCTCACCTCCCCCAGAATAAAGCCGAACCTGAGAGGCTCAGGGCGAGGGAGGCTGGGGCGGAAGGAGCCAGTCTCTGAGCAGGGAACAACAGTTTAATTGCCATTCACTTTGCTTCCTTTCCCTCTGGCTGTCATTTTGAATTAATTTCCCTCCATGGCCAGAAAGGTTCTAGAATGAATATGTTGGTTTGAAATTACAGTGTCTTAACTCTTCCGTACTCAAAAATAAGGGAAGCCAGAAAACAAAGAGCCACACAAGGCATGTTATAAATGTATAGATCTCTGTGAAGTCTCTACTGAACGGTAATCTCCTGATTGTAATTAGCCAGGTCCCATTGGCCTTTCCCCCCCCCCCCCCCCCCCGCACAAGGCACGTGTTTCCTGAGTCACACTGATTTGGTGTGAGGTATTTAGACAGTCGTGGGGTTAAAGGCAGTGTAAATAACTAGTGTTCTTTGTTCCTAAAACCTATGCAGCTGCAGTGGATGTCTCTTTAGCTTCTGTCAGCTGAAGGCTGGCTTGTAGTAACACCAGAGCTGAGGTCAGCAAATTGTGATGCCTCCTCTCTTAACCACATACCACTCCCTCGCTCACTGTGAGTAACTCTGTCTTCCCAGGCAAGCATTCACACAGAGTGTGCTTCGTAACTACCTGTTCCTTCGGGTCATCTCTAGCTGTAATGCTTTTGCCAGCATTGTCAGCCGCTAAAATAATCCTCAACTCCAGGCCATCTGGTGTGTTGTAATTCACACAGTGGCAAGCCTCACAGCTTCAGGACTGCGCTCTCTCTCTCTCTCTCTCTCTCTCTCTCTCTCGCTCACTCTCTCTTAACTAAAATTATGATTGTTGTATTGAAGTCTTTAAAAAGCAACTTAACTTTTTTCAATGTAATTAATACATACTGAGTTATTAAGCCCTAGGCTAGTTCGAGTCTGGTGGGTTCTTGACCCAATTTATTTTCAGGGCGTAGCCATTTCTTACATTACTCCTCCTAAATCTGCTTCCATTCCCACCCTCAGGAATTAATTCTGTTGACTCCGTCTTTATATTACCTTTGTATGAACTATTTATATTCTGTCTACAACCTTTAATGCCTTTAAAAAGTGCTTGACATTAGTCACGTCCTCTCCAGTAACTAAATAAGTTATTGTTAAGACCCTGTGTTAACCGGGCAGTGGTGGCGCACGACTTTAATCCCAGCACTTGGGAGGCAGAGGCAGGTGGATTTCTGAGTTCGAGGCCAGCCTGGTCTACAGAGTGAGTTCCAGGACAGCCAGGACTACACAGAGAAACCCTGTCTCAAAACAAAACAAACAAACAAAAAAAAGACCCTGTGTCGTTGGACATATTTTTATTGATTATAGGCGAGCACTATAAGGTGTTAAGGACTGAAGGAATTTGCAATTGATTTCTGATACCGTCTGTATTTCAAATCACCAGCCTATCGATTAAATTCAAGACTTACTATGCTAAACATTAGCAAAACCATCAGTGATTGTGAATGGATTAGCATGGAATTTAAACTGTAGACTGGCACAGACAGGGCAATTATATAGCATGGCAAAGTGAGCCTGGACCCTGTCTTCATATTCTCACAGAGGACGCGAAGATCAAGTCTCTTAGTTTTAAGTTTTAGGAGAGAGATGGATGTTTGGGTTTCTTATTTGTAAGCATTAGGTGAGGGCAACGTGTTTCATCCTGCTGCTTACTAATGGACTCCTGTCATTGGCAGGCTCACAATCCATATGGATGAAGAACTGCGGGCGCTGGCTTTCAATACCCTGCAGGCCCTGATGCTTGATTTTCCGGATTGGCGGGAGGATGTTCTTTCAGGATTTGTATATTTTATTGTTCGTGAAGTGACTGATGTCCACCCTACCCTTCTTGATAACGCTGTAAAGATGTTGGTACAATTAATAAATCAGTGGAAACAGGCAGCTCAGATGTACAACAGGACCCAGGACTCCCAGGTACCACTCGCTCCCACTGTATTGGTATTGCTTTGGGGCTGATCTGTAGTAAATGACAGATTGTAAAGTTAACTGACACACCCTGGCAACCTCGAGCTCTCCAGTTGTTATTGGTTGTAATGACTTCCTCTTGGTGATAATCCCTTGTGCTGGACTTTCTCCTCATACTTGGATACCAAGTGTTTGTGTCCAGCCTTTAGCTTTCTTCATTTGGTATCACATTACATTTTATCGACCACAGGAATCATAGAGTTAATTCTTAGGTGGTGGTGTTTCCAACATTTGAAAGCTTAGACCTTAAACTGTGGTAGTGTGTCATTTGGATTGATGGGTTTTGCAAAGGCCCCAGTTTCTTGAGTGCACTGGTCTGTGTTCCTTTACCATACAAAGTGCACATGTAGTTGATTTTATGACACTTTGCAAACACCATAGAACCCTGGAAGCTTGGAGCTGGAGCCTCCAGGGTAACCCGGGGTCTTTATTGAGCATACAGATCATAAGCCCTGAACATACCTGCTTCTGACAAGCTCCCAGGTGAGGCTGTGCACCCAGCCTGTTCTCACACATGAAACATGCAGTCTGGGCTCTCACTTCCCATGTGTAGACACTACACTAGAGGGATTAAGTGATGGCTGCAAAGTCACAAGGTAGTCTGAGAGACACACGTTAGGCCTGTTTACATTGCCATTGGGAACACTTGGGGGGTTTTGGGATGTTGTTTGTTTGTTTGTTTTGGGTTGGGTTGTTTGAGACAGAGCTTCTTTATGTAGCCTTGGCTGTCCTAGAACTCATTCTATAGACCAAGCTGGTCTCGAACTCACACAGATTCATCTGCCTCTGCCTCCCTAGTGCTGGGATTAAAGACGTGGGGCACCACTGCCAGGCTCCACTGGAGCATGCTCTGTTTTCTTTTGTGCTGATGTGGATCAGTTGAGCTCTGAGCCCCACTCCTCCTATAAGGGCTGTACCACCCAGATACACACCAAAACCTGCTTTTTCTTTTTATTTTGAGGCCAGGTCTCACAAAGTTAGTGCCCAAGCTGGCTTTGAACCCCTTCTGTATCCAGCGCTGGCCTGAAATGTGTGACCTTCCTGCTTCAGCCTCCTGAGTTGCCGAGATGGCAGTCTACGCCATCAGCCCCAGATCACACTATTAGATTTTAATAAAGCAAATGCTGTTTAAGTCACTTGAGTGGAAGCAGGCCTGTTGCCATGATGCTTGCAATTTGTCTTGCTGGTTACCGTTTCCTTTCCAAATCCACAGGCTTTTAAAACTTTGTCTGTTTTAACTTGCATTTCTTTTTCAAGCACGGCATCACCAATGGAGGTCCTCACCCCCCTCTGGAAAGGAACCCATATTCCACCGTGTTCCACGTGGTCGAAGGCTTTGCGTTGGTCATCCTCTGTAGCAGCCGTCCTGCCACCAGAAGACTGGCTGTCAGTGTCCTCAGAGAGATACGGGCTTTATTTGCACTTTTGGAGGTACCTAAGGTAAGGGTTAGGCATCTCAGGTCATCAGCTCATGAAGCACAGGCGTAATCTACTTTGTGGCTACCTGCTGGAGTGGGTAAACCCAGCCTGTCTCCCCTCCCCGCTCCTTCCACCAGACCCTGCTCCCCAGTTCTTCACAAAAGAAGAGGGCAAGCTCACACCCTACTCCACTTCGCTTCCCGTTGCCTACGTTTCTTAACCATCCCTCATTTGTTAGACGAGCGGTCTCTCTTTTTACAGGGTGATGATGAGTTAGCCATAGACGTGATGGACAGGCTGAGCCCATCCATTCTGGAGAGCTTCATCCACCTCACAGGAGCTGATCAGGTAACTGGAGGAATCTCCTCTCCATCTTATCTTGGGACTTCAGGCAGGTGAATACATATCCTTGTCTCTGCATATGTGTAAACTCTTCTCCTTAATAAATGCAAGGAGTCACAAAGTATTTCTGAAGCATACGACGGGTCTTAAAGCAGTGCGTGCTAACACCATGGCTAGTTCTTGTTGCCATTGAAAATAAGTTGATCTTGGTAAATTTTTAGTCTTTCCCTGAGACATTTCACTTAAATGTGATGTCACCAGACTTTGACCTGCTGCTTAGTGGTTACAGTCATGCAAAGAAATACTCTTTAAATCCGGGGGTGGGGGGGTGGAACCATGTTTGCTTTTTCAATGAATATTTTCATTTGCTTTATGAAGTTAAATAAATAGTATGTTAAAGTACAGAGAAACATTTTATCAGCAAATACATTACAAAAAAAATGATGTTATAAATTTCTTTTTTTACTCCTCTCCCTCTTCTGCCATTCTCCACCCCACCCCACCCCTGTCTCTGCTTAGAACAGAACATATCCAGCCAAACTCATGTAACCTTCTTTTGGATTTGTGTGGTGTTGGTGGGGGAGGGGAGGGAAGACAACAGTCAAAGGTTGAAACAGAAACAGCTGTGACATTTACTGCTTGAATTTTTAATTCTCCTATTTTGGATTATGTAGATGAAAGATTTATTTGCTTTCTGGCCAACACCTGGTTCTTGTAACTCATTTGTTATACATAACCTAAGGCAGGTAATTATAAAATTTTATAAACCTAAGACATGATTAAAAATGTATACAGTTAAAAGAATTGTGTTTTAGCTCACTAACTATGTACTATGATAACAAATAACATTTAGTGGCTTAATAATGCCTTAAACAGTGCTTACTGAAGGAAATGAACAGAAGCAGGGCTTCATTTCCTTAAGAATCTGAGTGATAAGGAACAAATATTTAACAATGTACACCTCTGGAGACGGCTTATGTTACAGGCTGCTCCATTTCATCAGGATGAAAGCTAATGGGTTTTGTTTTATTTCTAAAGAGTTCTGTGGCCTCGGGAAAGCTGGGCATTCACACGGGAGTCACTTAAACTATGGGATCTTACCCTTCTTGGTCCATACAGCCCTTGGAGAATAGTGAAAGCTACAGCATGTCTCTCTTAAGGACTAACCCAGTGGGAATGTCAGAGATTCACTTCTTCCTCAAACCTAGCTCCAGACACATTCTCCTCTTCTAGTCCAGAAAACCCTGATAGTCCACTTCCAGCAGAAGGCACCTCCGATAGACGAACTTTGAAAGTTACTCAGGTGCCGGGCGGTGGTGGTGCACGCCTTTAATCCCAGCACTTGGGAGGCAGAGGCAGGCGGATTTCTGAGTTCGAGAGTTTGAGGCTAGCCTGGTCTACAGAGTGAGTTCCAGGACAGCCAGGGCTACACAGAGAAACCCTGTCTCGAAAAACCAAAAAGCCAAAAAAAAAAAAAAAGAAAAAAGAAAGTTACTCAGATGCGTTATAATCATTTGTGCACTCTCTCTCCCTCTCTCTCTCTCTCTCCCTCTCTCTCTCTCTCTCTCTAGACTACTTTGCTGTATTGCCCTAGCTCCGTAGATCTGCAGACATTAGCAGATTGGAACTCTTCTCCCATCAGCCACCAGTTTGATGTGATCAGCCCCTCACACATTTGGATATTTGCACACGTGACCCAAGGCCAAGACCCATGGATTATAAGTCTCTCCAGTTTTCTAAAGCAAGAAAATCTTCCTAAACACTGCTCCACAGCTGTGAGCTACGCCTGGATGTTCGCGTACACCAGGCTGCAGCTGTTGTCCCCCCAGGTTGACATAAAGTAAGTGCTTTGACTAGAGCACATTTCACAGTGGGCAGTCAGCTTTCACGATGTGCGCTTTTGAAAACTGACATGCACTGGAAATTCTATGTCATGTGCTATATCATGAAGCAGGGAAAAGGTGTGAAGGCGGTAGACTGACTCACAGAGACCTGCCATCCATTCTGTCTCACATGATAGGCCTCTAGTAGTTTATTCACGTCTCTCTTTGGTCCTTCCACTGAGTACTTGCACTAAAACTTTACAATAACCATGTTCTTTTGACTTGGTAGACAGCTTGGCATTAGTTACATAAAAACTTTCTAAATGTGTTGTGCACTTGAGAGCTGCTGAGGAGAGATTGTCAGTCTTTTGAGGGCATGGCCTGAGCCACACATGTGAGCAGCAGTACCTGGACATGGTGGGAGATTATTAATAACGGAAAGAGAGGAAGGCGTAGTTGGGAAGTCAACAGTGTGGTAGTCAGACGGAGGCAATGATGGATGAATATGAACGAAGTACGCTGAATTGGGAAATTATCAAATAAAAATACTACTTAAAGAAGACGTGCGTGATTTCTCCTTCTTTTTTTTTTTTTTTTTTCAGTAGCCCCATCAATGCTAAGAAAGTAAACACCACCACGAGCAGCGACTCGTACATTGGTTTGTGGAGAAACTACCTGATCCTCTGCTGCAGCGCAGCCACCTCCCCGTCCCCGTCAGCACCTGCAGGCTCCGTGAGGTGCTCTCCTCCCGAGACGCTGGCGTCCACCCCTGACAGTGGCTACAGCATCGACTCCAAGGTGAGCCTCTCTCACCCTCTGTGGAGTTCCATTGATTCCACCAGAGGGATGTCTTAAATTTCTTCTCATGGGAAACATCATAAAGTGGTTGAAGAATACATCTCTCATTTTCACTAGGGGCGGGGGGGGGGG